ATCTTTACTGCTAGTGTGTACCATTGTTTTTAGTTCCTACTTAATTTTCTCACAGATCTTTGAACCGCTTTGCTATAAGCTCACAGCACCCGTTTTTGGCCGGGGCCAAAAAAGTGAGCCTTATTGATGTCCGCGCTTTTTGGCAACGTTGTCTCTCTAAGTAACTCCATCCGTTTCAAATAGATCTGTCATTCGTGTTACTGTAAGTCGCATGGATAGACCTGTCTGAAATTGTCTGCGGTATAGTTTTTATATTTCTGTTATATTTTCCTGCTTTTAATAGCATTTAAGATATTTGTTTTTCCAAAGCAAACCTTTACTCCCTCATTATTTTGACTTAATTACACTGTGAATGAAAAAGTTATAATCTGTTAGGCCATGTAGACTTTTTTTGGGACACATATAGATATGAATGAGTTTGTACTCATTTAGTTACCCCACATCGGATCTAGGACCGTCTTGGCTGCCACTCATCGCTCAGCCATTGCACATATATGTAAAGTACCTTCTATAGTCATAGGGCGAAGTAAAATTGTGAATCTGAGCTACTTCACTTTTTTACCATGTTGCCTGAGTGAGAAATACTTGTCATCACAGCGTAAAAAAGCGGCTATCTATGAAATTTCAACGATATAATTGGCATAAAGATACATAAGCTGTTTGTTCAAATGCACTATAGAAAGTATTATATCATATAATAATATATGTGTGGTATAATTACGTACGAACGGTATAGTGCTAACATCCATGAAAGACAAGAATCTGAAACATCAGTACTTTTCCTATTTATGGTTTGTGTGCTGGCTATATATATATATATATATATATGTATATATACATATTTGCTATCTGCTGGGCATCTATCAGCTACACAGCTTTGCACAACTGTTCTAATTGTGATTTTTATTTAATAATAAGCGTTTAGTTAATGACAACATTGGTTGACATATAATCCATTCCTTTGAGTCGTTTTTAAAATGTTTCGTATTTTTACTTCCAGAACATTGTTAGAATTTGTAGGAGAGCTAGCTGATGATCTTCCGCATGAACCAACTATGTTTCTTCCGAGCTTGGGCCCCGAGATTTATATGGCCCTAAGCTTTTTTCAACAGGCATATATGCTGCCACGTCACCCTCCCAGGACCCCCAGGGTTTTTGTTAACCTTCTCTATCAGTCCTCATGTTAGCGATGTGGTAACCTATTTGCCTACTATTATATTACTAAAGTTAGGAATACATAGTGGTATAGATTCGAGTACGGGTGTAGGCACAGTTCGCTTTATGCTGAAAACCAGTCGTCTAAAGTAATACCTAATGGTTTACGTACCAGACAAGAAACAGCAGTAAAATTACCAACTTTTACATTTAATAAAAGAAGCTACTTGGAGAAACTTGCTGAATACCGGATCTAAGTTTTTGATAACAGCGATTGGAGAACTGGTGTTGTACGCAAACTTCCGTGTTTTTGAAGTTTTAACTGTTTGGCTGTTTATACCAGAGATTTTCATTCTGAAATTGCGCTTTTAACATAGGAGAGGGCTAGAGGGCTAGCGACGACTCTGTCTCGCAATCGTGTTGTTTCTAACCTAGCCTTGAGACGATGTCCAGTGTAGTGTGTATCTCGAAACTACAACGAACCGGCTTAAGGCGAACATGTTCTGGACGATCTCAAGCCGATTCACGAACTAAGTTATGACGTAAATGTACCTGTACCATAAATGACCGATGCGGTCTTCCACAAATAGTAGGCCTGCAAGTCTCTGGTACCCGTTCCCTTGTCGTTCGTTCATTAGCAGCAGACGTATAGAGTGCGTGTAGCAGCGAATATATTACGAAGTTAGATGAAATGTATAAAGTGACAAGCTTACAAAAGGCGAATGGTCCTGCCACCTCGTGTTTTGTAAGCCACCCAGAAGCATCCTAGTAAATATGTTTGAGTCGCTTTACTAGGCCCTTTCAAAAAAAAGAGCGTTTCCTCAGCCAGAGGTTCGGAAAAAGCAGTCTGGGATGTGTGTGAGATCAGCCTTGCAAGACTAGATAAATGTGCCAAAGTTACGTACAGAACTACTCCTAGACACAGCTGGCTTTTCACACGGAATGAAGTGCGTTTACATCACCGTAGGAAAATACTTCATCGCTAAACTACCGTGAAAATAGTATGGGAATAAGGACCTTACTCGATCTATAATAATCTACGCTTGCCAACAGCGGAAATGTTGCAAATACACGGACGTTAGTTCAAATGAAAACGCAAACCACTACGCGTTCGACGAAGTCAAACTTGAAAAAAGCAGTGACGTAGACTGAAGTTGTTTTCTATGTTGCAAAGAGTGCGGTATTATTGCTCATTTCAACGGAAATCAATGATTGAAACTATAACTCTTTCTCTGAGCAAAATTTGCCATGATATGAAGACCCTGTTGGTTAACACTGAGTTTTTTTTTGCTGTTTGACACATATATTGACCCATAACAATTTTTATTATTTTAAATTTGTATATTTTATGGTATTCGAATAATGTAGGTATTGCAAATTTGTGCAAAATTTTTTACACCTGTGCTGACCTTTGCAGAAACGCAAATTAAATCTGGCACCTCTGGACGGTGTCGGTTATTCGAATAAAAGAAAGAAACAGGTTTAACGTGTTGAAATTTTCGTAATTTCTAGAACTCGCTGACCCTTATGTGACATGCAGTCATAGGAGTGCGGTCTAATTTTTGTATCGTTGTCGTTTAGGGCGCCACACTCTTTATACGAGTACGAACATTTATCATATTATTTATCTGTTCCATATGCAACTTCCTCTAAGTTTCGAAGCTTACTTTTAGCTTTTTTAGTTGCGCATCTATGTATAATAGACAACAATCTCGCAGTGGTAGCGACCGTTAGGTACAATTTTTTTAAAAAAGATACAGAGTTGCATTTCTACACCGTTTAGCAAATACGTTTGTCTTTTTATTTGTGTGTTAGGTATCCATACGCCTGCTGTAGTGCCATTCGATAAAGCCAATAGCTACGCGTTCATTGTAATCATTCTCAGTTTATAGCGATAGTCGGCCGGTCAATTGGAAAGACGGTGAACGAACGGCCAAGTCCCCACTTGTTGTATCCGCGCAATGTTATTCTGTTACAGGCTGCTTCTGCCACAAGTCTCGTTTCTGCAATGTCTGTTGCTGCAGAAACGTTGATGGTGGCAGCAAAAAGAATCTGACTGACTGATAGATGGCTTGTCTGTGCGGACGACCGATTTTGTTCATGTTGAGGACTACTCGGACTTCATTGACTGAGTAGAAATGGGACATCGGCACTTCGACCGGTTTCTACTGGTCGCTTCTTTCCGCTCCGTTGTGCGAGGCGTTCATCGAGGCGGGTGCCGAGCCAGCGTTTCCATTGTTGTGCCCCCGTCCGTCTGTATGTGCACATGTACCCTCCCCCGTCTGTGTCGTGTGTCTTCTTCTTCACCATTAAAAGACAGCCAACGAAACCGGACTGTCAAGAATCCTGCCTGACCGCTCGCCCGCCCACCTTTCGCCACAGAGGCGTGTACAGCTTATTTCCGCTCCTGCCTTACCCCAGCTAGCCTTATTTTTGCTTCCCCTCCTGAACCTTCTGTCCCGCCCCCGTCGACTTCGGTTCATCTCAACTGCTGCGCGACAACACGCGTATACACACACACACACATACATATATA